GTCAGACTTTCGCAGCTGCCGGAGGCTGCCAAAGAGGGACCCCCGGCGGAACAGGCCCTTCTTCTTGCCGGTGACGACCTCGCTGTCTGAGTGGAAGTTAAGGACGAAGCCGCCACGGCTGCCTGTCGGCGTGTCTGCAGGGGAGGAGAGGTCCTGGAGCACTGTGCCATTGCTCTGCTCAGAGCGCAGGGAGGCCAGAGATGTGCGCAAGGAGAACGGATAACAGTGGCCATGCCATAAGGAACACTCTGACGTACGCCATAGCCATGCCGCATCCCACCCATCCACTGGCCCTGATAGGTACCTGAGGAACAGGGAGACATGGGTCAGTGAGTCATAATAGTCGCATCTACTGTATACATCTGATCATATAAAGCAGTGGTTCCCAACCTTTTTACCTTACAGTCCTTTCAAATGAAGCACTCTCTGCTTATGACATCTCATCACATTACATTTACATTACATTTATTCATTTAGCTAAGACTGACATTTCCTTTTCAAATTGTTTCATTTTAATATTTTTATTGGCCTAAAGAGGTTAATGTATCCAGTTCTTCACAACCCTGTACCTAAATCCTCTTAAGGGCCACCCATGTTAATCTCATCACCCTTTAGAGGGATGGGATCCCATGTTTAGGAACCACTGCTAAATAGGACGAAACAACGCAACGCAGTATTGAAAAGGTCATACCAATGCCAAAATGAATAGTGATCTATCTGTGCGTGGCACTTCTGTTTCAACACATGAACCTTTAAACAATGCTTCTATTTTGAAATGCTGTATTTAACAGGTAAAGATGTATGAAAGAATTTAAGGTGCCAAAGGTTTGAAATTGTAACTTTTTCCAGAAAGATCTCTGGAATTACATATCGGATTATACTGCATTATCCTATTTTCCCTGCTCAGAATGTTTAACGGCACTATTTGGACAGATTAAATTAGGCTTAAATTAGCTCTCACTTTCTAATAAATATTCTCTCTATTACTCATCAGCCCCAAGAGGAGACAGTTGGCATAGGCTGGTATCATAAAGCACAGTCAGAAGTCGTCTCACAATAATTTGAAGAAGCAAATGTGTATTAAAAGTGCTGCTTGTGTGTGTTTTTGTTTGTGTACACAGTCTTTTTGTCTCACTGGATCCAATCCCAAAAATGGGTCTTTTATCTACATCAAGTGAATTAGTGTTTACACCCTGAAAATGTACGCAGCGTGGGACTTCCACAAACTATCTGAGAAAGACAACAAAACAAAAGTGTCCTTAAAGGGAGTTTACACCAACACTGATGATAACAGCTGATTATTAGAAGATTAGTGTGACTGAACAAATTAACCTCTTCTTTTTTTACCTTCATAGTTACAGTGAGCTTGTATTTTTGCCTGGTACAGTGAATTTATACATATTCACAAGCTTAATTTTTCTCTGTTGTTGCTGACCAGATATTTTCTGTATATCAGCACTAAATCCTTGAAACAGCAGTGCATATGGGGAACACAGAGGAGCCTTGCTTCAGGGGTGCAGCGTGTCAGCCAATTAAATGTTTTCTCTCCTTCCCCATAGATCTGGGACTGTGAGCATAACTAACTCAATCACAGAGATTTGATTAAGGTACTGATACTGAGGATCACTTGGGATGAATGTGAATCACTCAGCTAGGAGCCTATTTTCAGGCAGCCACTAACTCCCCCACTGACAGTAGGCACATTCACCACCGTCCGTTTGTCTGTGACGGCAGGGAATTGCTATGAGTCACATAATGAGAGGAATACTTCATTAATCCCATTTGGTGCTGCTGAGCCCAATGAGCAAGTGCTGGCCTACTGTAGCTTCTTCAGAGCATCATATTACAATCCTGATCCTAATAATAAGAAAGGCTTGTTGATCCAGCGCTCAAATCTCATTGACCAATACAATGCAACAGCAATAAAGGTCAGATTCTAACAGAAAATTATATACTAGCCCGGGCAGGAGTTTAGATGGATAAACAGTGTGAGATTAACAGGCTGGCTCTGCGCTGCGGTTGAAATCGGTGACCCTGCAGATCAAGTTATCAGAATGTTGCAGGGTCAGACAGCCAGATGTTCTGTAGATCCTCTAGGATCAGCTGATTTCCCAAGCCCAGCCCTCTGTAAGCGTCATATTTGAGGCATTTGTTGTGCACCATATGGCCTCTGTACGTAGAGATAATGCTCACATATCACCCAATGACTTGGATGTTTTATAACCAGACAGGACTATTAATAGGAGCAGGAATAGGAATAATAGGTTACTTGCAAGCACTTGCAGGTTTGTGGGCCTATCAGCATGTTGCCTCCCTGATCACACAGGTCTCTAGACAATCTGTGAAAACACCACTGATTTGCGAGATCAAAGCTCTGAGAGAGGCATGCACTGACCTCTCACTTTTAGCAACAGGAGTGGGTCCTGTTTATCACTTAACATGGCTGAATGCATAGATGATAGATATATTTCTTTATTTTCAGAACTGTGGAAACATCTATCTTAAGTTTACAAAGCTACTGTATAGAAATTGGATAATGCGTCCAAACAAGTGTCAGTGTCTTGACACTTGCAGAATCCTGGTTTCTACAACAAGTATCACTTTCATTAAAAAAAGTTACTTATGCATTGCAAATATTGGCATTTAGGCAAAAGACACACTCTTGAAGAGGTGCGTTGTTTGCTGTGAGGGCTCAAATGTGAAAATGACAGAGAAGTAGGTGATAGCCTGGCTATAATTGGCTCCAAACAGACTGATTTGCTCTGATTTCAAACTCCTTCTGGCCAGGGCATGTTGCCACTGAGCTGGCAACAGGAGTCAATCTCCTCCCACTGTCATATGAGGAGCAACCCATAGTTGCCTAACAGAATAAAACAGGAACCATTATCTTAAACTGCTAACATCTAACAGTTAACATTGCCAAGGTAATAAGTCATAGTTTCTTGGGGGGTATTTGATAACCGACGGTGCGCAATGCGCAATCTCAGCTTCAACTCAGATCATATCAGATGGAGATTCATGCACGGATGTGTTTCGATTGAGCCTCCCTCAATTTGAGCCTGAGCATCCTCTCACACACATAACACATCATCAGTCACAGCAGTTAAAGCGACACACACGTTAAACAAACATTGGGCCATCTTTCCAAGGCACCGTTCCTTACCGCCATCGCCATAGGTTTCGATCCCATATCCATCCTGCAGCCCGTTGCTCCAGGTACCGTCGTATCTAGCAGGTGTGTTGTGGCTTTGCCGGACACCGTACCGACCCTTAAAACCATGACTCCACTCTCCGCGGTACATCCACTTTCCTTTATTCTCCACCCCGAGCCCATGCCGCTTCCCCTGGGACCAGTAGCCCTTGTAGGTATTCCCGCTGGGCCAGGTGTACACCCCTACTATCTCAAAGCCGTGCGACCAGGACCCGGCGTACTCGCCCTGGCCCTTGGGTCCGGTGCAGATGCCGTGTCCGTGGGCTTTGCCATCCTCCCACCCCCCGCAGTAAGTGCCGCCGTCGTCGAAGTCAAACCGTCCGCCCGTCATTCAGATATAGGCTGGAAATAAAGCAGATCGCGCGCTGCTGCAGACTCAGGCGTCTCCAGGACCGAGGTTTGGGGATCCAGGACCGGTGGTGAGATGAAAGGATGGGCCAACAAGATGATGACTAGAGGAACAAATATTAGGAGGGTGACGATAGAGGATAATACTTCCAGCCACTGACATGCAATACAAAAGGCATGCGTAATGGTAAGTGTAAAGGTATGAATGGTGGGCGTCATTTACCGGAGGCGCACGCCGGGTTCTCCGTTGTGTGTTGCTCGTCTCCCCCCTCTCACCCACTGATCACAGAGGGAGAGAGAGAGGTGTCGAGTCCCTGCTAAGGAAAGACACTGGGCCAATCGCAACGTCACGCCACAGGGACCTCCCACTCTCACTCTCTCCCACCTCAGTGAACATCCACAACCCCCCCTCCCCAAATAAAACACCTATGTCTTTGCCAAAGCCCGCTATACATCTGAAAGACGCGCCTCACATTACAATTTCCCATAATACCCCCACATTTTTTCCTGTGACTATTAATAATGAGTTTATGATGACTTATTGTGTTTTGTTTATCCCATACAATATCGCTTTGGCCTATTGTGTGAGGTGATAATCTACTGTATATACTAGGTCTAGCTCAATTAAGTTTTAGATATCATATTTGTACAGCGTGTAGTATCAATAATACTCCCATGAGAGTTCCACCACGTGCCTGTTGTATTCAACATCAGCTTTTTTGTTTGATTGTGTTGTCTAGGCCTACTAATTCTCAAATGACTTTTTTTATAGTATCGTATTATTACCGCTATGTATTAGTGAGTGGGTGAAAAAAAGTGTTTCAGGTAAAGACTGCAAAGGCCATTGTGACTTAATTCTGATGACCCTGTAGGTGTGTAAGAAAAATTAAACATTTTGGTCAGTGAAATCATTAAGTCAACACATCAGGTTGGCCATTCACTCTCTAAAAGTCAAATAAAATGAAAGCATTTTCTTTCAAGTCATTCAGTCAGGAGAATCACCTTGCGTGACACCAGTTGCCTTTTGATATGACCACAAGGGCTGACCCAAAATCAGCTGGTGCAGACCATGGGGGCCTACACGGTGAAGGAATAGATAATAGCGACCTCTGCTGGCCACATGCGTGTATTGCATAGCTGGAGGACGCTATAGTGAAACGTTGAGCAGTGTGGTGTGAAAAGTGTAGTCATGTGTAGTCTTACATTATGAATATTTGTACATTTTAAACCGTGTACTGCTTGGTAATAATGCACGTAGGCATATGAAACAATGGTTAGTAAAGGCTACCTACTACTAGCTACTACCAGCATATCAACCACAAGTACGACGACAACGAGAAGGAGAAGAAGGAATTGTGTAGGTTTATCTGTAAATATCTCTATCACTAAATAAATATATGTTTATCTCACAGTTTATACGATAGTCTACCAAATTGAAGCAGCAGGGTCAATGTTCCACTCCGAGCCAGTAGGGGATCTATAGTGCTGACTGTGATGCGGTGCGTTGCCCGCACTTGTCCCCTAAAATACTAACAGATAAAATGGCGTCCGAAAACAGCCCTGAATCCCAAGATGAGAAAGCAGCTCTTATGGAGGCGGGCTCAGAACAAGATGTGCATCAGCAGTGTGGCACGGTTGCAAAACAAAGCGAATTAAGGCTGTATCACTGGACGCAGTCTTTCAATTCTCAGAAGGTGAGTGTCCTCACGTTTCAGCACCACACTTCAATGGACAGCTCCTCATCAGAGGTTTTGAATTGATATAATGTAACATCTTCCTGGTGTTAAATTCTGGTCAGGAATACATAGCTATGAGACACTTTAGTTACCTGGGGCCATTACTTCAATTGGTCAAATCTGTTGTCTCCTCAAAGAAGCCCACTAACCATACAAGTCGTACTTTATTTTTAATACACTCTCTTTTTTCTCTGTCTTGTATCCGGTCATAACTGGAACAAAATCTGCTAATTCAAAGTTTTTTTTAATTCATCGGCAGGTCTTATTATTCCTCCTAAGTCTGACTCAGAATGTTCCTTTTCTTAAGAATAGACCTATGTACTGTTTGGTTGTACTAATTATTCCTCTGTTAAAGATTATGAGTACCCTACAATATTTTTATATATATTTGTTTCTACTTTTAGTAAAAATACACATACACTCATAAATATACATACTTCAGTCGTCATCATTCTTAGTCTTTGAAAATGTTTTCAAGCGTACTTTAAACCATTTTATACTCTTTAATTGCAAGAAATCTTGTGGTTAAAAAACTGAACAATAAACACTAAATGTAAGTACTTTATTTGATATATTCTTGTCCATTGTGTTGTCGCTGTGATAACTGCATTTGTTGTTGTTATTTAAGAGAGCACAAAGTGCAGGAATGCAGAAACAAGAGACAAAAAGAGATTAAATTATTTGCAGTTCCACAGGTATAAGCACTGTGATGTCTAAACATCCATCGACAGTCACAGGAGTGTGTGTTTTGCAGGTGCGTCTGGCCATAGCAGAGAAAGGTTTGCGCTGTGAGGAGTATGATGTGAGCCTACCGCTCAGTGAACACAACGAGCCCTGGTTCATGCATCTGAATCCCGCTGGTGAGGTGCCGGTCCTCGTCCACAATGACAACGTCATCTGTGATCCAACACAGATCATGGACTACCTGGAGCAGAATTTCAATGGTGAGATGGTGGGACTAAATAAAAACTGTTTGGGAAGCCCCAAACTCCCACAAGCTGTTAACACAGGGCAGGATAGGTACAAGGCGGGATCCATTCAATCAAGTTCCCTACTTGTTTTTGTACATTGTTTTCCTCTGTTAGCATTTTTGTAGAATTTTTGGTTTTAAATTAAATGTCCATTTTTTGTTTTAATCTGTTGTATTTTTTATTGTGCATTTCTTGATTTTTCAATCATTCATTCATCCTTTTTATTTTTTTTTCCATTTTCTCTTGGTTTGCACTGATCCATGATAGCTTTGTACTAATGGTCTCATCTACCTGCCTTCAAAGGAGAGAAAATCTGGTAAGCATGGAACCATTAAAGCTAATGAAAAATTATGTGTTTAAATTCCCCCTGTTAAGTTAAACATTAAAAAACTTTGTATTCTCAAGTGAATAAATCACTTGTTCTTTTACCAGTATTCTTTATTGGCTGTGGCAGAAATCACTTTGATTCCCTTCTGAAAAGCGACACCTTGCATCATTGCTCCTTTCTTTTCATGACTTGTTTGTCTCCAGAGGGCACTCCCAAGCTGATCCCTGAAGAGGGCAGTACATACTATCACAGAGTGCAGCACTACAGGGAGCTGCTGGACTCACTACAGATGGATGCCTACACCCATGGCTGCATCCTCCACCCTGAGATCACGGTGGACTCCCACATACCTGCATATGCTGCCACATGTATACGAAGTGAGACACACTATGATGCACTCGAGTAATTACTACAAGATTTGTACAAACACACACACACACACACACACACACATATACACACACAGCCATATCCTTGTGGCACTATCTTTGTGATCCCATCATTGACAAAAAGCATTCCCTAGCCTCTTACCCTAATCCTAACCTAATTCTAACCTGAACCCTAAAATCAAGACTTGATCCTCAAAAAGCCCTCTAAACTTGTGAGGTCCGGCATTTTGGTGCTGTCAGACCTCACAAGTATAGTAGAATCCCAGTTTTTGAACCCCATGAAGACAGTAAAACAAGCCCACGCACCCACATAACAGTCTCCCCTTCACTTATTACTAGATAAGATCCATTGTTGACAGTAGAACACTCATATATAATCTAGGATTGATGGATTCAACAAAGTGAGATCTCACTCAGTGCATTGTATCTTGAAAACAATGCAGATTTCTTGAGGGTACACTCATACTGCTCAACCCAGTGAAATGTTCTGTTTAGTTGGACACTTTTCATTCCTTTCTGCAAGCTATATAATTTACTCTTCATGTGAAAATTAAAGGAAAGGTGTACCTGATAAAGGGCATCCAACACAGAGTCTCACACTAACACACATACACACAATCTGATATTGTCATGATGGACTTTTCTATATGAAATTCCTCAATTCCACAATAAGGTTTTGTAAGAATAAAAATTGTGGTATTATTCATTATCTCTAACATGATGTTAACGTGATGCTGTGTTTTTGTGTGACAGCACAGATTGGAAACACACAAACGGAGCTGAAGAAACTGGCAGAGCAGAACCCCGAGCTTAAAGATGCTTATGTAGCAAAACAAAGGCGCTTGAAAGTAAGTAAAGTAACCAGGGTAGTGATGTGCGATACCACTTATTTCCTATCCAATCCAATACCAAGCAATACCCAGGCTAGTATTGCAGATACCGATACCGATACCAATACCAATACCAATACTTTTTACATATTTTATTTCTAGTTTAATGTGACCTCCCTACTCCCGTTTCTGTATTTATGAGAGAAATAAGGAGTAGGCTGTAGGCTTACCAATTCATAATAATAGCTGCATAATGACAAGACATCAAACTACTGTCATATTCTTTAATTATAATGAAAATATCCTGCTCAGAACTGCCGCTTCCTAACAGCATCATATTATTTTGACTTAATCTCAGACATTTAGCGAAGTTTGCAGTGTTGCCAAAGTAATTCACTGTCTTTGCACACACATCATACGCAGCGTCATTATTACCTTCACCTTCAAAATACAGCCAGACGTAACTGCTTTTACAGTCAGCCATAGTCAGTATTCAATCACGGGAAATGTAAAGGGCTGCAGTGGCTCACTTCAAAGAAGCTCCATCACAGAGCCGTAGCGCAAGCATGACTTTGACAGGTGGCAGGAAAAGTAGTTCCTATCAACCGAGTAGCCTATAATTAGACCATCCAAGTGACAGTAAGATACTTACACTCACTCCAAATTACTGAGTTTAGATATCGATCCTTTTATATGAGTATCGATCCTAGAGCAGGAAATGTTGGTATCAGAAATATCGATACTTTAGGATCGATCCGCACATCACTAAACCAGGGTGTCAGTTGTTTCTTGTGATGTACACTGGAGGATATACCCTCCAAGAGCCATGCTGCCCTACAAAGCCAAAGCACAGCAACTAACATTACATACTTCAAAACTGAGTAAAGACTGGACTTTATGGAATCTGTTTTCCCAAAATACTGTATTCTGGCTTTTTATTGGTGTCACTCTAATCTCAAAGAGAAACAGCTAACTACAGCTAAAGCAAGAAGCGATATCAAATGTTAGCTAGCTAGTGAGATACATCCGTGGATACAATAACCACGGCGCCTTAGCGAAAGCTAAGGCTAAATGTACTTACTTGTTTCCCCCCAGACACGCTGTTATCTGTAACAGAAAATATTTATTTTGATGAACCAATATCTAAGCAATGAGAAACTAAATGAAACAGTAGATGAGACAGTAGCTAAAACAACAACCTAAACTTATGCTGTAGTAAATTAGCATTAACTGACATCTTAGCTTTTGACTCTAGAGGAATTCATGTCATCTGGTGTCGCTAAGTTACCTTTAAATCACACATTTAAATTGTATATAACTGTATTATATTGATTTCATTACTAATAAAGGTAGATGGACAGGCAGACACAGAGATACATTTAATCCTCACATTATGGCATGTAAATAACCAAAATAAAGTTTATTTTCTGAACTGAAAGAAACATTTTGTTAGTAGGCCTATATACTGCAGAGTGCTGTATGTGCATTTTTCCTATGTGTTACAGTTTGTCAGCCAGCCTGAAAACCCTTTTTTTTTTACATAATTTTTTGTCTACAATGTGTTACAAAAGTAAATGTGCACTAATGCATTTATATATAAAAATGTTTCTGCAGTCCAAGTTGTATGACCATGATAACATGAAGTACCTGAAGAAGCTTCTGGACGAATTGGAGAGTGTGATGGACCAGGTCGAGACAGAGCTACAGAGGAGGGTGGAAGAGACACCAGGTACACAACCAAAGTAGCTCATTTAGCAACCATTTTACCATTAACAGACACACAATAAAAGACACAATTACATTTTTGTGACTGTAATAATGTAATGTAAACAAACAAATGTACCAGTGGTGACTCTTGCAACACAGTTGATGGCAGTAGCATTTTTAATCATGTTATCTGTTGTTTTTACGTACTCCATGTCTCCTTCTCTGTCCTCTTCCACTTGCAGAAGAAGGCAGTCAGTCCTGGCTGTGTGGTGAGTTCTTCAGCATGGCCGACGTCTCTCTGGCAGTCACCTTACACCGCCTCAAGTTCCTCGGCCTCTCCCGCCGCTACTGGGGCAATGGTAATCGTGTGAACCTGGAAACATACTATGAGCGTGTGGTGGAGCGTCCAGCCTTTAGGAGAGTGCTGGGCCATGTCAACAACATCCTGATCTCTGCTGTTCTTCCTGTGGCATTCCGCGTGGCCAGGAAGAACGCACCAGTTATTCTTGGCACCACTCTGTTGATAGGTGTGCTAGGAGGAGCTACATACCTGGCTTTTCTTTACATGAAGAAGAGGCTGACTGTCTTCAGCTGAGGGAGCTAACAAGTGTTTGAGTTGCGTTTGGACTGAATTGGGGATTGGGAGGTAGATAAACACAGGAAAAATATGAGAAATGTTCCCTCAATCATTATTTAAATTGTGTAAAGTTAAAGTAAATTAAGGAATTTTATCATCCCGCAAGCATCAGTAATATGCAATTGAAACAAACCTTAGTTGTCTTGTTTTCTGTGATGCTGGTTGCACAAAATGCACTTTTAACATAATGGTATTTTTACATGTTTTTTGCCATTTGATATAATTTATTCATACTTGCTTCCATCCTATCAGCATTGTATTCACAAGCTTTGTTATGAAAGCAGGTAGGAATAAATTTGCTGTTAAAAGATGAAAAAATGAATGAATGGAACATTCCTCTCACAAAGTGGAAATTTATGTCCAAAATTTAGGCTTGTGACATGCGCCATGAAATTGTGGCATCCCTTTGAATCAATAGATTTTCATACTGTACTGAAAGTAATGGAAATAAATGGCCACCTATAAGAAGATAACAAATTCAAAATTGGAAAAGGGAGTACTTTCTAAAGTTTTCAGTACTAATATAGGGCATACTTAATTTATATTAAATGGGCAATTTATGTGCAAAAACACCAGTATGGTCAGACATCTTTATGTCTACTTAAATCACGATTAACAGCCTAAGATGTTTTGCCTAATATTTGTCATTTATTATATCATTGTCGTCCATATTTGCATGTTGCACAGCCTGCTTTCTGTGACCAAGTCTGCCAGCATTTAACAAATGGATCTGTCCAGCAGTTCACAGTGAACTGTACTTCAAAACTTGTGTCTACATTTGACAAAGGCTCTGTAGGAACTCCCTGTTATCATGGCTGCACTCATGTTTTATTATACGACTGAGGGGTAATTGTGTGAAACATTCTCTGTATAGTAGAATGAATGCTTTTCCAATCACATTTCCATCTTCTTCAGACCATCATATCCAACATCTGTCTAAAATTAAACTGCTCACAAACAACGTGCTGTGCTTGCTATCAATCAAATTTAATTGGGAATGGCATTAAAAATTCACAACTCAGCATCATTTAAAAAGGCTATCATATATCATAAAGGTTTAAGATTTCATAGGGAAACATCTAAAGACTGCTAATCACATTCCTCAGGGTATGGATGTCAACATATACAGTAATTTGTTGGCCCAGTCAGAACCTCCAGGCCAACACTGACATTTAACATATGCTCCGCTTTAATTTAAATTCAGCCTCACGTGAGCTTAGCCTCACATAAAACAGACACATGCTAGACCTTTCAGCAAAGTCTGGCCTTTGTTTTCAGTGTCCAGAGGGCTGGTTTGTGTGGCTGTCAAAGAAATGCCTCACACATGTTAAAGCCACATGTGAGCCAAGCTGTCAAAGGACCAAAAGCTCATACTAGTGTGTTAGCTCTGGAAAGTCATACCCTGCAAATGGCCATCAAAATGACATATTTTTACTGCAAGGTTGAATCACACAGATGTAATTTAAAGGGATAAGGGTCAAAGTCATAAATAAAGTGCAAACTTATAAAATCTATTTCAGAGTCAACGTTAGTGACCTACATTTCAAGTGTTTTTGTGCTATGTTACAAGCACACAAAATTGGACTAATCCATGCCTTTTGACAAAGTGCCATCTTACTGCATATATCTTATATCTCCACAGATCATTCAATATACATGAGGGATCCGTGGTGTAATGTCACTATAAAAACACTGTCAAAAGACAACTTTGAGTGACACAATCCGCTAATATCTATGGCCAAAGTGAACCAAACTCTATTAAAAACATATTAAGTTGATTGCAAGACATAATGGCTATGTATTACACAATTTTTGAAAATAAATAATTAATAGTAATCATTGACACTCGACAATGTACCTTTTAAAATAGGAAATTGAAACTCTTTGAATTGAAATTCTACATTTAATGAAAAATTGAAAAAGCATTTTTTGCCTCTGATGAACAGAAAAGAAGTAAATGTGCACGGTTGTCTCCACTAGGGGGCAGTCTTTCCTCAAACAACATACCACCTATAATTCACAGGGAGAGGGGTGTACTCCCTAACCCTCTGTGTGTTTTAAAGTACTTTTTTTGGGGAGGGGAACTACTACTACTCTTTACAAAATGCCGGATGATATGACGTAATTGAAGCAGTGCCGTTCTTCGGATAAATTATTTTTTTGTGTGGACTGCTATATATTAGAGTTTTAATCCAAAAGGGATTCAGCCTTTCTGACAAAATAAACATCTTGTTGTAGCTGGACATGGTCACATATTGTTTAAATGATTGGTCCTGACATCTCGCTATTCAGTTGTTTAAAATCCAACAGGTGGTTCTCCTCACTCAGAATGTAAAACAATGGTGTTTTTTTTTTCTTTTTCGCAGAGTCAATGTCATGTAATATTAGAAGAAACTGTCAGCTTATTAACGGGCCCGGACACTTTGGCCAGACACATACAACTGAATATTTGAATGGCTCTAAACAGTGGTTCATCTGTTTATACTGCAGGAGCTGCTGACAGGTTTGATAAATTAGCAAAGACATTTAAAGGTTTCCAATACTGAAAATAAATGCTCACTTCTTTGCCTTTTTCCTGATTTATGGATCAAAGAGAGTTGTATGACCTTGCAACTTCTACTAAACTGTGAGACAATTTGGAGAAACATGTCAGTTTTCTGATGAACTATCAATCATATTAATTTACCTGCCAAAAGAAAAGTACATGAATGTTAGAATTGTGACATCTCCAAATTGCAATGTGCAGTCTTAAGATCAGTTATGAACTATTATGGAAAACACCTCTGTCAAGTTATTATTTTTTTGGGCCAGAGTGACGAAATGATTTTAACTTTAATAGGTTTGCTTCACTGTAAGTGATGATACGGACTACTTTGAGTTTGAACATGGCTGTATAGAAAAAAATGTTGCTAGCCAGACCTCCTGCAACAAAAAAAAAGAAAAGAAAAGATGAAAGCAAACACATTAAAGCTTTCCAAAATGTATTTGTAAACTGTATATAACATTATTGACCATGAATTAGGCTTGGATTTGGGCTGATGAGAAGTTTTCTTCTGGGTTTGCTTAAAGGAAAAACACAGAGACACCTGAGAGGTTTAAGGGTTGAGTATGCTTCAAATTATGTAATTCATGTGTCACTGTGTAAAGTGGCCGTGCTTGTTGGATTGCCAGTTTCGGAAAGTTATAAAGATTGTCGAGCGCCACTCCCTGATTTGTTTGAAGTATACGGATGCCTTTATTGGTCTATCCACCTTATGATTGGCGGCTGCCTTAGGTGAAGGATGAGCTGGAGTTGTGAACATGTGCCCAGCCAGGTCTAAGCAGCGTCAACGGTTGTGTGAATGATTAGAAGCCATGCAGTGGCTGACGTCCTTGATGATGTGGCATTAGAGTTGAGTCACCTCTGTACCAAAGCTTCTCTTGTACCGTAATACATAGTCCAACTGGTTGATTATTTGTATTCCCATTTAGAGCGACTTTAAACCCCCCCGGTGTACATTAGAGATGGTGACTGGCATCAGGTCAGACCACTAACAGAGAGTTGTATGCAGTTTCTACGCTGCCATTCAAATAAACAAAATCAACATGCGTCTCGAGGCATCACAGACTCTCTCTATTCCTTTCTCTCTCTTTCTCCCTCTAACTCCTTTTTCTCCTAACAAAGTTTTGTGAGTCTGCGTCAGAGGGGATGGGTGGGGCAGTGCAGGTGTCTGTTTTTGGGAAAGCCAAGAGTTGCATGGAACCCCCCAGCAGACATGCATGCCCACAGCCAGACAAACAGAAAGTGGAGAGGGAGAGAAAGATGCAGGCTTGTGGTAGAGTTGGTATGGATGGCTGGGATTGATGGATGGAAAAAATGCATGGTGATGCAAGCAAAAAGCAAAACTTTTAAAGTTTGAATGTTAGTTAAAATGGTTTTGGACAAGAACTGTACTGCGAGGTGAAATGTGCTGAATGACCTTCTGCAATGCATTTGGAGCTGCTCGAAATGGCACTGGCACACACCTAAAGTAAAGTAAAATCCAAAGTGTCCAAAAATAGCAAGCCAATATGGGAAAAGAAGTTAGTATGTGACACCCAATTTAAGCCTGTCCTCAGGAGAAAAATTTCTTGCTGGGTTGAAACTCACTCGTTTTAAGTGCGCAAGGCAGGTGGACAGTGGGGTGATGATGTGTGAGCTGGGCTGGATGTTCACAGACAGGCAGGCTGGGTAAACAGAAACCCACACAGCAGTAGCTGACGGCTTAGCCCGCTTGATGTGGGCTCTCTTGCCTCTGTGACTGAGTGAGTGGGAGCATGGAAAGTTCCACGGACACTTGTTGTAATCATGGGTAGTGGTAGACTTAGGAAAGGATTTCATGGGCAGAAGGGAACCTGTGATATAAACCAGAGGAACAATGAGGCAATCAGGAAAGAAGAACAGGATGCATCATCTCATATTCTCCATCACATCTGCAAAACCAATAGCAGACAATTCTTCTTGCCCTATGACTGGTCAAGAGAAATGGAAAAGATGTTGGCAAAGATAATGAGTTTAATTTTTTCCTGTGTCTACACTGGCATTACGTAATGACACTGTAGACTTAGGGGTGGCATAGCAAGATGAACTACCTCATTGAATGGAGCAGCAGCTGTTTTGCTCTGTGCAATGTCAACAGCAGTTTTGTCGCCATTGTCCAATGAGCCTTTTTGTTGCATCAGTTCCCAGTCCTACTGTCAGTACAGTATATCTCACTCTGTTATTGTTCCTCTTATAGTTACTTTGGACCACACTGCTCAGAATCAATAAGGGAAGATGTCCAAAGCCTGTTGGCACTATCAAAGGTGGACACCACAGAGCTTTACCAGAAGGCAGCTGTCACCGCCTTTCAGATCGTCTGCGATACACCGTTTGCTGAGTCGACAGAGGTGGGATCTTATGATGTTGACACTACTGTTAAAATGACCCCCCGTTGGCTTGCCCTTCACAGCTTTATGATGAAATCCTGTGCCACCATTCATCCTCACATGTGCTCCTCAAATATTTAAACTTGGGCTACATAAACACTGCTGTGCAGAAGAGATGATACCCGAACCTTCTGCATTATAAATCTCTGTTCAATTGGCCAGATGTGGCCAAGTCAAACACACCATCAGCTTTTTATTGTGTTAATGAATTTTTTTGTGTGATAGGTTTGCCATTACCAAGTCAAATTAACCACAGTGATCTCAGCGGGGATCTGAGGTGATGGGAGGAATTATTTTTCCAGCTTTTTAAGCTCTTCTGTGTCTGCATGGAACATGTACAGCTTTGACAGGGGGTGTGATCAGAGTAACTGTGGTTTAAAGTGTTAAAAGTGAGTTAATAAAAAATCAAATATTGAACAACAAGAATTTAGACTACTAAGTGAGGAGGTTAGCAGTTGCCTGAGAGTGTGTATTCTTGCATCCATACTTCAACTTGACACAGATTAATGTCGCTGTTGCTCTAATGTATCGTCTGTCTCACCCCCGGAGGTCAGTGAAGGTCGCTCCACCTGCTGTGACTGATAGCGAACAAGCCCTGTGAGGGGGGCTGGACGCAGCTGAGGCCATATAAACACATATCCTAATGTAAAGAGTGTGCTCACCTCCTGCTTTGAAAACACTTCCTCTCCCATGACCCCCTAAGACAATAAGGCCTCAGCTTCTACACACTGAATAAACAGCGTTACCTATCATCCGCTAAAACAAGGGGAAGCTATGAAAAATATCCAAAGACACTTGACAGGCGGTGAACTAACAAAGGTGAATTGATCTTGCCCCTGCACCAAGCGAACACATAAGGGCCAGTCTCTCAAATGAATGCACAGAGATTAAAGTTGATATCAAACCTCCATCAAACTCAAGCTGGAACCTTGGTCTGAAAAGTGAAGCCAACACTTAAGTGCCTTAGGCCTGCATTCTTTGTAATGACCAGCAGGTGGCAACTCCATCCATCCA